TGAAAATAAATTTATAAAGTCTGTACCAGGTCCAGAATATTCAGAAAATAAATTCATAAAGTCTGTACCATGTTCAGAACATTCTGAAAATAAATTTATAAAGTCTGTACCATGTTCAGAACATTCTGAAAATAAATTTATAAAATCTGTACCATGTTCAGAACATTCTGAAAATAAATTTATAAAATCTATACCATGTCCAGAATATTCTGAAAATAAATTTATAAAGTCTGTACCATGTCCCGAATATTCAGAAAATAAATTTATAAAATCTGTATCATGTCCAGAATATTCTAGTGACAAATCTGTTGAATGTGTACCATGTCCAGAATATTCTGAAAACAAATTCATAAAATCTGTACCATGTCCAGAATATTTTGTCGACAAATTTATAAAATCTATACCATGTTCAGAATATCCTGAAGAAAAATACGTAAAATCTGTACCATGTCCAAAATATCTTGTCGACAAATTTATAGAATGCGTACCATGTCCAAGCAAATTAAAGAAAGAATATCCTGAAGAAGAAATAAAAATAAAAAAGGAAGAGGTGGAGGAGGAGGAAGAGGAGGAGGAAGAAGAGGAGGAGGAAAAAGAAGAAGAAAAAGAAGAAGAAAAGGAAGAGGAAGAAGAAGAAAAGGAAGAAGAAGAAAAGGAAGAGGAAGAAAAAGAAGAAGAAGAAGAAAAGGTAGAGGAGGAAGAAGAAAAGGAAGAAGAAGAAAAAGAAGTGGAAGATGAAGAAGAAAAAGAAAAAATAGAAAAAGAAAAAATAGAAAAAGAAAAAGTAGAGAAGGAAAAAGTAGAGAAGGAAAAAATAAAGGTAGAAAAAGAAAAAGAAAAAGTAGAAAATGAAAAAAAAAAGGTAGAAAAGGAAAAAGAAAAAATAGAAAAGGAAAAAGAAAAAATAAAAAAGGAAAAAGAAAAAATAGAAAAGGAAAAAGAAAAAGTAGAAAATGAAAAGAAAAAGGTAGAAAAGGAAAAAGAAAAAATAGAAAAGGAAAAAATAGAAAAGGAAGAGGAAAAAGAAGTAGAAAAGGAAAAAGAAGAAATAGAAAAGGAAAAAGAAAGAGTAAAAAGAGAAAAAGAAAAAATTGAAAAGGAAAAGGAAAAAGTAAAAAAAGAAAAAGAAAGAATTGAAAAGGAAAAAGAAATAGAAAAGGAGAAAAAAAAAGAAGTAGAAAAAGAAGAAGAAGTAGAAGAAGAAAAAGAAATAGAAAAGGAAGAAGAAAAAGAAAAAGAAAAAGAAATAGAAATAGAAAAAGAAAAAGAAAAAGAAATAGAAAAGGAAGAAGAAGAAAAAATAGAAGAGGAAAAAAGAATTCCACCAATAAATGAAATATCAATTTTACCATCAAAAATAGTGAGACCTGAAGCATTTGCACTTAAACAACTCTTGCAACAAACAAAAACTGTACCACCTATGATATCACCTTTTACACCCATTTCACCATATATTCCACCATATATTCCGAGAGCTCCAATATCGCCGCCGGATATTTTAAAAAAATACAAAGAAAAACCAAGACGACTAACTATTGAAGAAAGAAAAATACTTTTTCCAGAAGAAAAGATACCACCTCCTCCAGAAGAAAAAAAAATACCTCCTCCTGAAAAAAAAATACCTCCTCCAGAAGAAGAGAAAATACCTCCTCCAGAAGAAAAGAGAATACCTCCTCCAGAAGAGGAGAAAATACCTGTTCCAGAAGAAGAAAAAATACCTACTCCAGAAGAAGAGAAAATACCTATTCCAGAAGAAGAGAAAATACCTATTCCAGAAGAAGAGAAAGAAAAATTGGAGGCAGAAATGTTAGAAATAAAACAAAGAGAGAAAACTTTCCAAGAAAGATTGAAAGATTTCTTTATCAAAGGTTTTAAAAAAATAGGTAAAACTGAGGAAACTCCAAAGAAAGGAAATGATAAAACTCAAGCAAATACTAAAATTGAAATAAAAAATGCAGAAAAACAATTAGTAAAATTTACTCCCACTAAAATGAATCCACATACGGCAATAAGAATAGAAAGAAATCAGAAATTTCAACCGAATCCTGTGAATCTAATGAGACTGCCTTACCAAACCATAAATGAGATAAAGAAAATAAACAATAAAAATAATCCCAATTCTCCTCTGCTGATAAAAGAAGAAATAAAAAATAATGCAAAAAATAAAATTTCTGACAAAGAAAAACAAATTTCTGATAAAGAAAAACAAATTTTTGATAAAGAAAAACAAATTTCTGATAAAGAAAAACAAATTTTTGATAAAGAAAAAGAAATTTTTGATAAAGAAAAACAAATTTCTAATAAAGAGAAACAAATTTTTAATAAACAAAAGCAAAATCAATTGAAGTTACTAAATAAAGATATACCTGTTTCGTCAAATCAAGATAAAATAACAATACATAAAAATAATGAAAAGCCTGAAAAGATACTTGAACCTCGAAAATCTAAAGATATCAATAAAGCTCAAAAAGAAATATTAAAAAAACCTGAAAAACCTCGAGAATCTCAAGACATTGCTCGAGACAAAGCTCAAAAAGAGATAATAAAAAAACCTGAAAAACCTGCCATTCAAGAAAAAAAAGAAACTAAACCTAAAGTAACTGAAATAAAAGAAGAAGAAAAACCAGTTAAAAAAATACATCTCGATGTATGTTCCGAAAAAGAAACTACCACGGTATGTACAAAATCTTCCGGAATAGAATCTCATACGATATGTACAGATTCGAATTATGAAAAGTATTCAAATACTCACGAATATGTTACTACCGAAAAAAGTAGATGTAGTTGTTGTTATAATGCACCTGTACAAAAATATGATACCGAACCTACAAATTATCTTAAAAGTTGTTTAAAAATGGAAAAGCAATGTTATCATACCAATTCTCAAGAAAGTGCTCGTCCAAATTCATATTACGATAGAAATTGGGATGATTGTAATTGTAGAAGAAAAATCCTTTGCAACGGTTCTTGTAGATCACGAAATTCAGAATTCAGGTAAATTTTTTATCTTTTACTATAATATATATTATTGATGATTAAGTTTAATTATTAATTGAATAGTTACAGACAGACAGATTCTTATGCAGATTATATTAAATCTCAAAATAAATGGAATTATAATAAATCAATTAAAAACAATTCTGGATATATGAAATCTATGTTTTGTCTTTATTGCGATAATCCTCGTGAAAAATGCACGTGTAGAGCGCCCGTACGAAAGTGTTCGTACTGTCAATTGCCCATAGATTTGTGTACGTGTAAGAATCAGGAAATAATACACGATGGAAGATCGATCATGAATGAATCTGACAACGATCGTACCATGTACGTTACGGCATGGAAGCCCAGAGAAGAAGTACGGCGTTACTTTTCCAGAAATTTAATCGAACATGAAACCGATTCTATGAATGAATGCCGTTATTGTGAAAAACTTAAATCGCATAATTCTGATCTACCTTATCAAAGATTGAGCGTATTTTCCGACGTGATGGATGAATTACAACAAAAAATAAGCGCGTCTACATGTTGTACACGATGTAAAAAAATTCCTTGCTGTTGTAACATAGAGAAAAACGAGATAAGAGAGGATAGAAAGATAAAATATTGCATCAGGTATAATATCTTTGATCAGAATTTAATTAAAGTAAAAATTATATTATATCACGTAATACTGAGATTCCTTTATCTTTTTTTTTTTTTTCACAGTCCTAAAACGCGGCGAAAAATCATCGCAGTATGTATTGATAAATCGAAAAATAAATTACCTACAATTTGCAAATGCGAATCGAATCACACGAGAAGTGATAAACAGAAGAAAATAATAGTAATTTGTCGTGTTTGCAAAGCATCACCTTGTAGATGCAAGAAGAACAAATCGACTCAGAAAAAATTAAAAGTGAAATGTTATTATTGCAAAAATTCGCCTTGCGAGTAAGTATATCTAATAATTATATGAACGAAAGAAGGAAAAGAAGAAAAAATTTCGAAATTTCAACAATTTCCTCGATTAATTGCCCCGAACGTAGATCTGGTACTTCCAGTTGCTGATTTTTTTATTACATTCTTTGCTACAGCTGCATTACGGCCAGAGAGCGCAACAAGTCGAGGCCATGCAGGTGCATTGATTCACCTTGTCGTACGAAAGAAAAGGAAAGCGTTCCATGTGGAAAAACATCCACGAAACCGAAGAACAATGACGAAAAGACAATTTGTGTGCACTAATATGACACCTGTGTGGTTACTTGACTTAGAAGTACAATGCACTGTTCAAGATTTTTAAACAAAACTAAAAATATTGTTTATGTTCTTTACGTTATTGTGTAATGAATCTCATATGTTAATCTTTAGAACGAAGTTCATAAGTATAATATATTGTTTATTTATTTTATAACGATTTATATGATTCTGTTGCACTCTTGATCTTCTGTTTCTACAAGACAACATTTTTTAATTCATTATCGAATGAAATCCCCGCTCTCATTTGTAAAATATAAAGAAATTTTCCAATGTCTTTTTTTTTCTTTTTATAATTAATCAAAATTTATAATAACGTACAAATGTTTAGATAAAAATATATTTTCTTATTCTGTTAAATTATATCTTATGACCTACAACACTCTATCACTATAACATTTACGACAGAGCATTTAATAGATTACAAAATATTGTGATTAAAGAAAAATTAAGATATATTTACAAAATATAATTTCGTAAATTATAATGCATGTTAATATAACCTAATAACTTCGATACTTTCTATCATATAAATTTTCAAGATAAATTAAATATAAATAATGATAAAAAATTAAAAATTTAAGAATTAAAACTAAATTAATCAAATTTCATTAATTTTCTTACTCGAAAAAAAAACTGCTTAAATATAATAATTTGTTATGTTATAAAAATGAGTAAAAATATACTGTGATATGGCTAAATAACATAGATGTTAAATGTATTTTCTTATTTTAGTTTTAACATTTTCTTATAAGAAAATTTTTGTGCAACATGTAATATTTTTAATAAAATATTAAGAATATACATATTGCTATATTGTTCTGGTATTCCACTTTATTCGAAATGAAAAAAAAAAAAAAAAAGAAAGAAAATTAGTCGAGATTTAACTCACAACCATATACGAAATATTTAAAACTGTTAGAGTTGGTGGGAGTAGGGGGTATCTTAGGTATCGTACAAGACGCTGTCTCCTGTTTTACTAGATCGGTGCGAGCCGTAGACCGACAACGTGTTCTTCCACTGCTAATCGTATTCTTCATTTGCTTTCATTTTTAAACAACTTATTTTTTTCCTTTGCGAATCAATTCAAATATATATTATTGTATTCTTCATTTCGTGTAATTATTTCTGTTATATATATATATATTTTTTTTTATTAATTCTCGTCGCGAGTATAAGTGAAGAAGGAAGATAAAGTTGACCAATAGAAAAAAAAATGCAAGTGTACAGTGAAGATCCTAGATTACTTTGTATTTCTCGTGACAAACTATTAAACGAAAAGAATGCACGCCAACGAGTTTCTTTAACTCTTCGTGAACTTATTGATGCTTTGCATGAAGCTTTCAAAACTGACCATGTGAACATAGATGAAGTTCAAAATCTAATGGCCTTGTACAGAAGTAACCCTTTGGAATGGAAAAAATATGCCAAGTTTGATAGATACAGGTAAACTGATAAGCTTAGAATTTTTTTACAAACTATTATTTAATATATATCGTGCAATTTCATTGTGTAATTAATTAATTGAATTAAAATATTGATTATAAGAGGAATTTAAGTGTTTAATTTACGAAAAAATAAAAATTTAAGATTTTTTTTCTTGTGTTTAATCAATCGACGCGTCTTACATTTGCGAATGATCGAGTTTCTTGGTAAATATTTTATCGGACATCATACAAACAAAACATGGCACAACTACATCGCAATCGTAAAATAAAATTAATATGACGAAATTCACGATAGGTTATCGTTACTGTTTCTTTAACCCTAATCGTGTCTTACGTATTTTGTTTCATTCAAAACACAATCAATCTTAAGTAATGAATTCAGCATCCATGTATCTGTATTATCTGCGCAAATTGACACGCGAACATAAAGTAAATGACCTTAAGAAAAATGAAGAGAGACCATCATGTGATAGAAGTCATAAAAATTTGAAAATTTACTGTCTGTGAAATTTACTGAATACGTCGTTGGTCTTATCTAAAAAAACATATATTGAAAGATTGTGCAGCAATCTTGTACTTCGCACTATATACTGCTATTACAATAATACTATGAGTAGCATAATATGTATATTCGAAAGTTATCAATATGAAAACAATAAATAAGAATCTATTAGAAATGTTCCAGAAAAATAAGAATAATGATCTATGCAATTCTATTGCAGGTAATAATCCAATGATGAATAATTACCTAATAATCTATTCGCATCTTAATTTTTATTGTTATGTTAATTAAATTTTATAAATTAATAACTCAATTTTCTTTGTTAATTAAAGTTTATGAATTATATAAATACTAAAATAAATAGAATGTCACAACTATCAATCATGTATTTAAAGCATAATTAAATGATTTAGAGTTTTTTATATATTTTTTTTTTTTTTTTGAAAAAATGAAACAAGAAATTAAAATTTGAAAAGTTGAAAAGACAAATGAATTTTTTTTTTATTCATATAAAATATACTTGGAAATTGGAATGAATATTCTTTTGTTAATTATAAAAATAATAATAACAACGTTATAAAACATATGGCTATATGGCATTACACGAAATTGCTAATATGTCGATTTCCACATGACAAAGTGGCGAAAGTATGAAAATTGTATTTCATGCACAACATAGTATATAGGACATTTAAAAAGAAGAATAATAGAATATATTAATCAAACGAATGAAAAATGAATCGAATGAATAAAGATTAAAAAAATACTCGTCAAAATATTTTATAAATATCTAATATTTCGTTATTAGTTGTTTAATAAATGCAATAATAATTTCATACTATCTACATTTCTCTGTATGGAAATATTTTTTTCCTGTGTTATTTCAAATACGATCTACGATCAAAGACATGATCAAAAAGTTTTAAAATCGTTGCAACCAAAACCTAAGTATGCGGAACACTTTAGTGTCCATGTGTATTGCACATGAATCAATAGTGTTTGTACGGTGAACGGCTGGTTATACACACTTTCCACGTATGCCCCCCTCTTTTAACTTACGTTACACTTGATTCAGAACATCGGTTCTTTGACACACGACACCGGATCGAAAGCAACGAACGATGAAACGTTCCAAAAGATTTAGAAAAAATATCTATCTATGTTCAACTCGATAAATCTAGTTCATTATCTTCTAATGAATTTTATTTTTTTTTTAGTTTTATGTGATTCATTCTAATGCTAATACAATTTAATTATACATAAAAGGTTCTTAAAGAAAACAACTAAATGAATCACTGTGCTTAGATATACAAGGAATTTAGTCGATGAAGGAAATGGAAGGTTTAATCTAATGGTTCTATGTTGGGGAGAAGGTCATGGTTCAGCCATACATGATCATGCAAATGCACATTGTATAATGAAAATTCTTCAAGGTGAACTATGTGAGGTATTAAACGAAATATTTTATTTTTTATTTATATATATATTTTTAATGAACAATTTTTTTAATCTAATTATTCCCATAGACACGATATGCATGGCCTAAAAGTAACAATGAAATGAAAGAATCAGAAGAACTACAAGAATTGAAAAGAAATACTCTTGGTCTCAATGAAATATGTTATATTAATGGTAATATTTTTATAAATATAAAATCGTTTAATATTAATAAAAATAATTAGATAAAAGAAAGACCTACTTTTTATAGATTCCTTAGGACTTCATCGAGTTGAAAATCCGAGTACTGTAAATCCTGCTGTTTCGTTACATTTATATTCACCCCCATTTTCTTCATGTTCTGTCTTCAATAAGCAAACTGGACAAAAGACTTCGTGTAAAGTTACATTTTGGTCGAAATATGGAGAAAAACGGAATCGGGTATAATTATCATCCATCTTTTTTACTTTTTTTTCTTCTGTTTTTATTCTTTTATCAATATTATCAAAATGATCAAAATTAATTGCAATTCAATCTTTTAATCTTGCAGGAGGTTCAAGACGCCAGATGTCCTGAGGACAATTAATATTCCAAAATTAAAATTGATGATAACAATTTTTTAAAAATTATATTAATTTTAAAATATTAGTTCTTCGTATATTGTATAATATAAAAAAAAGAAATTAAGTACTTAAAGATATTTAAATTTTAGATAATATTTTAATTTCAATTCGATTTATATAATTATATAATATACAAAATAATTAAATCTGAAATATTAATATTATATATTAAAAAAATAATTCCTGAAATAGAAAGACATGTATATATTCAATTTTCATATAAAAATATTTAAAAACCTTAATGGGAAATTTTATGAAATAAAGAGATATATTTTATATTATTATATCAATATAAATCATACTGTTTAATAATAATAATAATAATAATAAACATAAAAATACTTAATTATCGGTAATATATATTTTTGAAAATCTAATATTGATATATAATATATAATGTATAAGCTAATATCTATAAAATCTAAAAAACAAATGAATATTTAGACTTATTAAAGTCTGTTCTGAATCTATTCTTAAATACATGCACCACATGGATAGAATATATTAAGACATAGTATATTTGATATAATAATATAATTACCTTATAGTATAATATCTGAAACAAATAAACATAAATTTAATTAAAAATAAAATTCTTATGATAAAATAAAAAACGAATTTGAATAAGAAAAAAAGAATAATAATTAAACAAAATATTTTCTGAAACAGAAAAATATATATTATTTTATATAACATAAATATTTAAAACTTCT